AACTTTAAACGCATCCATCAATATGCGTTTTCGAAAATCCTTCCACAGTGACAACACAACTGAATCTCTACATAACCGACAACCGCACCACTGCGGCAGGAACCCACTCCGCTGCCCTCGCGCTGCCCGCCGAACCCACCCGATGAAGCCGACTGCCAAACAGCCGAACAGACCGAACCGTGGAAACTCCTGCTTCTCCTTCCCAGACATGCGAAGTCCGGATTTTTTCAGGACGGCGTCTCTGTCGGCTACACGCAAGAGTGACCCAGGGTAAGAATGACCTTTGGTGCGCGGCTTTCTGGGGGCCGCGGGGAGACCAAATCTGGGCGCGCAAGCCGCTGCTACCGCTTCGTTTTCAGCTATCTGAAGGCCCATCTGTGCCCGCACCAAAGGTCACTCCGGCGAAAGGTCACTCTTACGTCTAGTCGACTCTGGAAGTCCCAACTCTTTCCCCGCAACCGGCTCTTCGTCCCAAGCCGTTGCGCGACGGCCCCACGGCCGGGCGAGGCCCCCCCATGGGCCGAAGACAGCCAGCAGCCTCCCGCCCTGATTTTTTTCCGACGACGCGAACATGCCTGGGCTCGGATGCTGCCAGTGGTGCTTCCGAGGTGCTCCCAAGAGCCTCGGGAGTTCCAGGGATGCCCAGGTGGTCATAACACAGGGCTGGGATCGGGATAAATCGCTTCAGAGCGTTCCGGAGCGCTCTCAGAGCGTGCCGGAACGCTCTGGAGCGGCCGCGGCGCCCAATACATCCTCCAAGCCCGCCGCTTCTCAGAGATTTCGAGTTATCCCGATCCGATGTTGCCCCGATCCTCGCGTCGTTTCATCCCAAAAGCCTCGGGAGTTCCAGGGATGCCCAGGTGGTCTCCAGAGCAACCACGGGTCCGGCCGGGCCCCTGGGTCCCCAAGTGGCCTCCAAAGACTCCCTGGGCCAGGGGCGCCCTCTGGCAGCACCCGCCTTCCCCGATCCCTGCCGTCGTGCCTTTTTTTCGCATCGTGGAACCGAGTTGGGCGCGATTTGATGGGGGGCGATAGTGAAGAGGCCATGGGACACACAAATAAATACACAAATAAAATTACCCCACTGCGACCCTACCTAGAAGTTGGAGCCCCTAGGAAAGCAACATGAGTTGCTATGCTACGCTCTGCTATGCTATGCCATGCTATGCTGCGCTAGGCTATGCTATGCCATGCTATGCTGCGCTATGATATGTTACGATATGCTATGATATGCTATGATATGCTATGATATACTGCGCTGTGCGATGCTAAGCTATGGTATGCTATACCATGCTATGCTAAGCTGCGTTATGCTATGCTGTGCTATGCTATGCTATGGTATGGTATGCTATGCTATGCTATGCTGCGCTATGATATGCTATGTTATGATATGCTTGGCTATGTTATGCAATGCTATGCTATGCTGATGCAGCGCTGCGCTATGCTAAGCTAAGATAGCTTAAGCTAAGCTAAGCTAAGCTAACCCTCTAGGCAGAGCCTAGGTAGGGAATTACACCCATGCTAATGGCTTTGCCTTTGCTTTGCTGCTATGCTATGCTATGCTATGCTGTGCTATGCTCTGCTGTGCTATGCTCTGCTATGCTGCGCTGTGCTATGCTGTGCTGTGCTGTGCTGCGCTTTGCTATGCTATGCTAAGCTATGCTGCGCTATGCTATGCTATGCTGCGCTATGCTATGCTATGCTGTGCTGCGCTATGCTATGCTGCGCTATGCTATGATGTGCTCTGCTATGCTAAAGCTCAGCGAAGCTATGATGAAGATAAGCTAAGCTAAGATAAACCTGAGCTAAGATGAAGCTAAGCTGAGCTAAGATGAAGTAAGCTAAGCTAAGATGAAATAAGCAACGCTAAGCTAAGGGGACGCAACTGGGGGAACCGCGGGGCGGATCCTGGGGGAGCCGCCCGGGGCGGGTCCACTGCCCCGCCCCTTTAAACTAGAGGGTAAGAACCCTTCTAGGCAGAGCCTAGGTAGAGAATCATTCCCAATATTTTCCCATATTTTCTGGGTTTCTGTCTTCCCCCCTCACTGCCCATATCTTCCTATATTTTCGGGGGAATCGACGATTAGTTGTGTCTGTGTGTGTGTTTTTTCTCCTCCCGAGATAAACGGGGGAGGCAGCGAGGGCTGCGTAAAAGGAGCTCTTTAAGGCCCCGGCTAAGGTTAAGTCGGGCCTGTCCCCCTACGGGGGGATTTTCGATGAAAAATTAAAAAGATACCCCAAAACAAATTAAAACATTGTCCAAAAATGAGATGGGGACTATTTTAAACATCTGTTTTGACCTTCTTGGAATATGTTGGGCTTTTTTTTAAGTTGAAAATCCTCCTGTAGGGGGGCGCGCCCGACATAAGACTAAGGGCCCTGGAGGGCAGGGCCCCAGAGGCGGCCTCGAGGGCCCGAGAAGGGCACCCGCCTTCCCACCCCCCATTGCTCGCCCCCCCCCCCCCCCCCTCCCCTTGCCGTCGCTCGGACGTCCATTTCCCGTGCATGCTTCGATTTCGGGCGTGCTTTTTTTTTTTGTTTGCTCGATGGTCCAGGATGGTCCTCGATGGTTCTCGCCCGGAACAAATGCACACGTCCGAGCGATGCCAAGCCCCCCCTCCCCCCAATTCGCGTCCAGCACGGGGAGCTGCACCCCCTTCCGGGGGCCACTCTCTCGTCTCGGGCACGCTTTGTGGACGGCCCATGCCCGCTGGGGGCCTGGACAAGCCGAAAATATCCGGCAGCGTCCGCACTGCTTTTTTTTTCAGCTCAGTGTGCACATACAATGATCGGGGAGACGTAGGATTCGGTCGGGCATGTCCTCCTACATGCGGATTTCGGATGAACCATTGAAGAAAATCCCACCAACAACCACCAACAAAATTCCAGAATAGTCTAACCTTCTCAAACAAAATGTCCCCTGATTCTGTTTTCGACTATTTTGAATCTTCCTCCTGTAAGTGGAAGTGCCCGACTCAAACGTAGGACTGAGGATCGGGGGACTCGGGTTGGCCTGGCGGGGCCATCACGAAACATGAAACATGAGGCGGGCTCCCGCTGCAAACATCCCGCGAAAACTGGGCCGTCAAAATCCGGGACGCGCTCGTCGAAGAGCGCCGGCAGCCTCGAAGTCTGGCGCATACTCGAGCCGTACGCTTCCCCGAGATAAATGACCTGGCCATAGCCACCAACCCCGCGAATTCTGGGAAACCCTGAAGCGGACTACCTACCAGACCACCCCAACCCAACCCGAAGACCCAAATTTCGGGTTGGGGGGGGGTAAGGGTTTCGTCTGTGTTTTTGTCAACGTTCCCCGACCCCCCCCCCCACTGGAAATGGAAGGCACATTGAGGGCTTCGGGTTGGGTTGGGGTGGTTTGGTGGGTGCTGAGAAGCGCCACGAACAACAATTTCTCATATAATTCCGAATTCTGGGAATCCCATCGCCGGTCGACGGCCCAAAACCTGGTGGCACGCCCACCGTCGCCTCGCAGTTCCTCGCGAGGTGCCCCCCGAGGCTCCGCGGGCCCCTCGGGAGGCGAGAGAGGTGCTCGTCGAGCCCCTCCTCCTCCTCCTCCTCCTCCTCCTCCTCCTCCTCCTCCTCCTCCTCCTCCTCATCCTCCCCATCCTCTTCCTCCTCCGACGTGGCAGTTCCCGGAAGCCCTGGATCCAAAGCTGCTCTCCTCCCTCGGGGGCGCACTCTTTCGCGTCTGCCGCTTGCCGCCGCCCCTCCGCTGGCGGAAGGTGGCGGAGGCCGCCGCGTGATACTTCCGCCGACCTTCGACCCTTCAAAAGCAAGGCCAGTGTTGGAACGCCCCACTTCGACTGCCTACTGTAAGCTGCAGGACGGGGTTCTGGCTTCTTCTCGCCATGGCAGGCATTCTGCTCGGTAACACATCTCGGCCCGAGCGCGATGAAACAACCACTCACGTGCGATATAAACACGTGGTTCAAGAGACATACCAGCACTTGAGCCGCGCATCGCGTTGTTATCACGCTTGCGTTGCCTATCGCACTTGAGCATTGGAGGTGGCCAGGGGATACAGGCTGGTTAGGATCCCAGACATTCGGTCAGGAGGGGGAGACGAAACCAAATCCGCCCCAAAGCGGTCCCTGGTCCCCTCCCAGGGTCCATCTAGTGCAATCCTTCACTCCGGGAAGATCCATGTTTCGCAGCCCCGGAGCCCGAACGCGGCTCCCGGAGGCCGAGAGAGGCCAAGACGACCCTCCCGAGCCCAGAGCCTTCCGCCTGCCCGGCCGTCCTGCTGGCCGGCACCAGCGCAGGGCCACCTCCTCCTCCTCCCCCTCCTCCTCCCCCTCCCCCTCCTCCTCCCCCTCCTCCCCCTCCTCCCCCTCCTCCTCCTCCTCCTCCTCCTCCTCCTCCTCCTCCTCCTTCTCCTATAGTTGGCGTTCGCCAAACGGCCCTGGGTGCTCGCTGAGCAGCCCTGCCCGGTTCGATTCCTGCCTCGGGGTGCGTCTACAAAACGGCTTCGCTTGTCCCAATGCTACTGTGGGTGTGTGTTTTTCTCTCTGCTCTCTAACCGCGGACCCCCAGAGACGGCTCCAGCTTGAGCCGAGCTTTAGGTCGGGCATGCCCTCCTACAGGCGGATGCTGGACGAATGTTTAAAAAGGCCCAACATGTTTAGACATTTTCCGGAGTAGTCGAACATTCGCCCCCTGACTGTTTGCTACTCCTTTTGCCAATTCCCCCGGTCGAGGGACATGCCGGACCCAAATCCTAACCTCCGACCCCCGGACGGCTCTAGTGAGGAGGAGGAGGAGGAGGAGGAGGAGGAGGAGGAGGAGGAGGAGGAGGATTGAGGAGTATTATGAGGAGTGAGGAGGAGGAGGAGGAGGAGGAAGAGGAGGAGGAGGAGGAGGAGGAGGAATTAGGAGGAGGAGGAGGAGGAGGGAGGAGGAGGAGGAGGAGGAGGAGGATTAGGAGGAGGAGGAGGAGGAGGAGGAGGGTTGAGCCGAGCGCTTCCTCGCCCCGGGCGGGCCTTCCGGAACGGGTCCTCCCGCACGCGCGCGGCGACCCGGGACAGCACGCGGCTGCCCGTGCTCTCGGCGCGCTGCTGCAGGTACGCCGCGGCGCGGCCCCGCGCGCCCGGCGCAGCCTCCGACCTCGGCCGAAGCGCGGGAGCGGCCAGACGCCACGAAGGCACGCACTCCAGATTTCGTAATATAAAGGGAGGGGGGTCTCATTTCGGGGGGGGGTCTCTTCCAGGCCATCTTGGAGGGCCTGGGGGGTCCGGGGACGACGTTTTGGAGGGGTCTCCCACGGGGGGGGTCTGAAATGGCTTGTCTTGGGGGGTCCAGACGCCACGAAGGCATCTACTGCGGGATGACGATCAATAACACAAATGGGGGAGAACGATAAAAAACAAAACAAAAAAAGTGTTCTGCGATTTCGGCACCATTTTTTCGGACTGGAGGAGGACGATAAAAAAATATAGGTTTCCGGCCCGCGGCCGGTTTTTGCTAATCGTCATCCCGGGCGCCGCCGCGTGAACACGACCCCCGGTCATTTATTAATCGTCATCCTCCAGCACGCAGACATCGTGCGAGGAACACTGCACGTGACTGCCGGGAGGGCGGCGGTGTCGATAGTCGCTGGCTCCCAGTGGGGATCGACACGCCGCCCTCCCCGAAAGGCCCGGAAACAGTCCATTATAGAGAGTGTCTGTGTAGATCTTTGCGTGGCGGAGGCCCCGGGCAAGGGAGGCCTCTGGTGCGACGGCTTGTCGATCGCTGAGCCCAGCACGGACGATTTGGTCCAGTTTCGGCATCTGGGGGCCCTCGACGGGCCCCAGCACTGCCAACAGAGACATTCGAGATGAATACCACCACTCCCCCGACCTCTCCTGGGGCGCGTTCTGACCAGGATTTCGACGCGAATCTGGCGGTGGCGCCGAGGGAGACGGGCGAAGGGTAGCGGTATCAGTACCGTTTCCTCCTCCGAAGTGGCTTTTTAGGACGGCGTCCCTGGAAGTCCCAACCCTTTCCCCGGGACTGGTTTTTCGTCCCGAGTCGGTTGTTGACGGCCCCGAGGCCCGGCGAAGGCCCCACGGGGCCGAAAATAGCCAACAGCCTCCCGTCCTGGTTCTTTTACGACGATCATGTCTGGGTCTGGCGATCGACGTCGTGAAAAAAGATCATGACGTCGGGGCTCTGGCCTTGCCGATCGCTTGCGACGATACGGCACCGGCGGCCCGCGTGCACGGGGCTGCCCCCCACCCCCCTCTGGCGCCATCCGCTGACCGCACACGCAGAACCGATCTGGCTAGGGGTCCACCACGCCTCCTCCTCCACCTCCTCCTCCTCCTGCTCATCCTCCGTCTCCTCCTCCTCCTCCTCCTCCTCCTCCTCCTCCTCCTCCACCTCCTCCGCCTCCTCCACCTCCTCCTCCTCCTTTTCCCTCTCCTCCTCCACCTCCTCCTCCTCCTCCTCCTCCGCCTCGTCCGTCTCCTCCTCTTCCTCCTCCTCCTCCTCTCTCCTCCCTCCTCCTCCTCCCCCCTCCCTCCTCCTCCACCTCCTCCCTCCCTCCTCCGCCTCCCTCCTCCTCCGCCTCCTCCTCCGCCTCCTCCTCATCCTCCTGCTCCTCTAGCTCCTCCTCCTCCTCCCTCCACCTCCTCCTTCTACTCCCCTGCTCCTCCTCCTCCTCCTCCTCCTTCTCCTTTTATCCCCTCCCCCTCCACCTCCCCCTCCTCCTCCTCCTCCTCCTCTCCTCCTCCTCCTCCTCCTCCTCCTCCTCTTCCTTCTCCTCCTCCTCCTCCTCCTCCTCCTCCTACTTCCGCCTCCTTCTCCTCATTCTCTCCCTCCTCCTCCTCCTCTCCCTCCCTCCCTCCCTCCCTCCCTCCCTCCCTCCTCTTTCTCCTCCTCCTCCTCCTCCTCCCTCCTCCTCCTCCCTCCGCCTCCTCCTCCTCCTCCTCCTCCTCCTCCTCCGCCTCCAGTCCTTCTCCTTATAGATAACTCCTCCGTGTCGCACCCCGAGGCCAGTTTTTAGGGCGGGCCGGGCGTTCCGCCGGAGACTTCCTCACCATTCATGACTCTGAAGCGTAAACAATGACAACCATTTCACATATGGAGGGCGGGTCGCTTAACAAAAATGTGGCTTTCGCCTTCGCGCCGCGCACATTCGCTTTAAACATTTGCAAGGAGTTGCACGGATTCAGGGCGGGTCGTTTTCAAAATGTGGCTCTTGCCTGAGCCCCGCGACTTTGCAAGAGCTTCACGGATTGAGGGCGGGTAGTTTTCAAAATGCGGCTCTCGCCGCAGCGCCGCGCACATTCGGTTTTAACATGTGTGCAAGAGCTTCACGGATTGAGGGCGGGTGGTTTTCAAAATGTGGTTCTCGCCTAAGCGCCGTGTACATTCGTTTTCGCAAATTGTAAGAGTTTCACGGATTGAGGGCGGTTCCTTTTCAACATGTGGCTCTCGCCTGAGCGCCGCGCCCATTCCTTTTCACAATTTGCAAGTGTTTCACGGACTTCCAAGACCAACGTACCAGAAATTGTGTGTTGGAAGACTCCGACTGATGCGGGTACAACTGTTATGTTGATTCGCTGTGTTGAAATCCAAGGGGTCATGGCACGATTCTGGATCGTCAAGACGCGGCGTGTAAGTCCCGAGAACCATGTCTTGGCACTTCCTCCTCCTCCTCCTCCACCTCCTCTTCCACCTCCTCTTCCTCCTCCTCCTCGTCCTCCGCCTCCTCCTCCTCCTCCTCCTCCTCCTCATCCTCCTCCTCCTCCTCCTCCTCCCCTCCTCCTCCTCGTCCTCCTCCTCCTCCTCCTCCTCCTCCTCCTCCTCCTCCTCCTCCTCCTCCTCATTTCCTCCACCTCATCCTGCTCCTCTGCCCCTGCTCTGTCTCCTCTTCTTCCTCCTCCTCCTCCTCCTCCTCCTCCTCCTCCGCACCTCCCCCACCTCGTCCTCCTCGACCCCTCACCCTCCTCCTCCGCCTTCTTCTCCTCTGCCTCCGCCTCCGCCTCCTCCTCCTCCTCCTCCTGCTCCTACTCCTTCCCTCCTCCCTCCTCCTCCTCCTCCTCCTCCTCCTCCTCCTCCTCCTCCTCCTCCTCCCTCCTCCTCCTCGTCCCTCTCCTCCTCCTCGTCTGCTCCTCCTCCTCCTCCTCCTCCTCCTCCTCCTCCTCCTCCTCCTCCTCTTTGTCCTCCTCCTCCTTTCCGCAGCGACCGCAGCGCCGCGAGTGAGGTGGCCCTGGCCTGGAGCAGGGCCGGGAGGTGCCTCGCGGCGCTGCCCTTCACGGCGCCGCTGGAGATGATCTCGATGGCCTCCCCAGGGAGCCCCATCTCGTCCCCTCCTCCTCCTCCTCCTCCTCCTCCTCCTCCTCCTCCTCCTCCTCCTCCTCCTCCTCCTCCTCCTCCTCCTCCTCCTCCTCCTCTCCCTGGAGGTGAAGAGGGGTGCAGCTCCCGAGGCGACCGCTGCTGGCAGAGGTTCGGAGGAGGGGAACCCAGACATGCTCGCTTCGTTTACAGTCGGGGCGTTGACCTAAGGAACCCTAAACAAGGAACGACGCCCCTATGTTCCATAAGTTAACCTTCGATTTCCGGTCGAAGACATAAGGGAAGTCTGAGGCAAGTTGTGAAACACTTAAGGAACGCGGAGCCCCTCCCCAACGAACAGGGTTCCTTCTTCAAGACCCCTACTGTAAAAAATCAGGACGGGAAATTTTGGACCATTTTCGGCCCTGGGGGCCCTCGCGGGGCCTCGGGGCCGTCAAACAATAGCTCAGAACCAAAACCCAATCCCTCGGGACTTCAAGGGACGCCGTCCCGGAAAAACCCGGACGTCACAAAGGTCTGGGTCTACGATCGGCAGCGAGCGAAGGGGGGGAGGGAGAAACCAGCCTTCTCAGCAGGCTCGGCAGTCCCCCAGCCCCCCGAGAAGTGCTCCAAGCCTTCCCTGAAAGCCCCCAAAACCTTCCGGAAGGCACGAGGGCTTCTGCGAAGTCCCGCCGCCTTCTGAGAAGGCCTTCTCCTTCTCACGTCCCCCCCGTCTCCTCGCCGGAGAAACGAGGCGGGGACAAATCTACTAAAACAGGGCTAGGATCGGGATAAATCGCTCCAGAGCGTTCCGGAGCGCTCTCAGAGCGTTCCGGAACGCTCTGGAGCGGCCGCGGCGCCCAATACATCCTCCAAACCCGCCGATTCTCAGAGATTTCGAGTTATCCCGATCCGATTTTGTCCCGATCTTCGCGTCGTTTTATCTACAGCCCGATCTCGGCCAGAAGAGCACCCCTCAAGAGCATGGGGCCCTCCGTCGGCCAAGAGACGAGCAGAGTATCCCAGGGCACCCTCCCCAGGGCGCACAAAGAACATCCAGCAAACACGAAGGCACCACGGTACCCTTAAAACGACGCGAAGATCGGGACAAAATCGGATCGGGATAACTCGAAATCTCTGAGAATCGGCGGGTTTGGAGGATGTGTTGGGCGCCGCGGCCGCTCCAGAGCGTTCCGGAACACTCTGAGAGCGCTCCGGAACGCTCTGAGAGCGCTCAGGAAGGCTCTGGAGCGATTTATCCCGATCCTAGCCCTGTTTTAACCCTCCCAGAAACCACCTCGACTTTACACCTCGGTCGGGCTCGATATCCACCGCCTGGGGAACTGACGTCCTGGCTACTCCTGATTCCACAACAAGAGAGAGGAGGTGATCCGATTTGGGAGGGGGTCTGACTTGAGCCGTCTTGGAGGGTTTTCAGTGGCGTCAGGGCAACACGCCGCCCACTCATTGCTTTTTTGGCTTGCGAGGGGGTCACAACATTGCACGTCTGGGAGGATTGTGACCCCCTCCCTTTGATTATACAGAACTTGGGGCACCCAGCGAGCGGCGGACCTGGATGTTTCTGGGCCCAGGGGGGCTGCACACATCGGCGTTACAAGAAGTTTCGCCATGAAGGGGGGGCAGCTTGGCGCGGCCGGGACAGGGGCCAGCCTTCGACCGCCCTCTCGCGCGGAAGCCACGGACGAAACCTGCATCACCCTGACGCTCCCACAGCAAGACGTGAGGAACTTACTTCTGCAGCGGCGGAGCAGCTACTTCTCCACACTCTGCCAGGGACCTCGGAGATCGATCTCCTCCTCCTCCTCCTCCTGCTCCTCCTCCTCCTCCTTCTCCTCCTCCTCCTCCTCCTCCTCCTCCTCCTCCCCCTCCTCCCCCTCCTCCCCCTCCTCCCCCTCCTTCTCACCCGTCTCCTCCTCTCTCCTCCTCCCTCCTCCTCTCCTCCTCCTCCTCCTCCTCCTCCTCCTCCTCCTCCTCCTCCTCCTCCTCCCTCCTCCTCTTCCTCCTCCTCCTCCTCCCTCCTCCTCTTCCTCCTCCTCCTCCTCCTCCTCCTCCTCCTCCTGCCTGGAGAACCATCGCGGCGGGAGGTCTCCGTGCTACCTCTCGGCCTCCGGGGCCCCACCACCCGGCCCGGAAGCCGTCGCAAAAGGACTCGGCACGACGAGCCTGTTCGAGGGTGACGAACGAACAACGCACACCCATACCCATGGGGAGGTCGGACGGACCCAGACCCCCTCAGGTAATGAAAAAATCATGACGGGACGTTTTTGGTTATTTTTGGCCCCTGGGGGCCCTTACCGGCGCTCGGGACCGTCAAAAAACGATTCAGGATGCAAAACCGGTCCAGGGGAATGGGTCGAGACCTCCAGGGGTCGACGTAATGAAAAAATCATGACGTCGGGGGTCTGGGGAGGAGGACGGGCTACAGGTGTGGGAGCGGGCTGCAAAACCCGAGGGGGGCTCCCGTTCGAGCGGGGGCCGCCATCCGAAGGCACGCACCGGTGGCCCTCCGCATCCACCCCTGCGGGTGTGCGCAGGGTGCTGTTCCCTCGTCTCCCTCTGCGAAGTGAATCGATTGGCCCCGGGGTTCGGAAACGGGCGAACACGCCTGGCGCGAGAAGGCTGCAACGCTGAGGTCGGCCATGTCGTCCTACTCCTACCTGGCGGATTGTTGGTGCAAGATGCGAAAGAACCCAAAAAGGTTCCAACAGAAGCAGAAATATTGCAAAGATCGTTCCCATCCTATTTTTGGCTATTTTTGAATATCCCGCCTGTAGAAATAACACGCCCGGCTTGAGCCTGGTGTCCGGGACCCTTACCAGCCTCGAACGTATCCCTATCCCTAAGATTGACACGCCACAAGGCGATGACAATCCTAGGGATGCGCCCTGAAAAAAAAGGAATCCCTGAGATTGGCATCGTGATGAGGAGGTGCCCAGCATAGGGATAGGGACATGTTCCAGGCGGATAAGACCCCCCCGGGCCCAGGGAGGGGGCGCAGGCGGCGCGGCAGCAGGCCGAACCCCGAGCCGGCCGAGTGCCGTCGAGAGGAGGAGGAGGAGGAGGAGGAGGAGGAGGAGGAGGAGGAGGAGGAGGAGGAGGAGGAGGAGGAGGAGGAGGAGGGGCAGGACACGGGCCTGCGCAGCGGCCGCCGTGCCACCCGGCCGCGCGCAGCGCGCCCCGCGGGGTGCGGCGCGCGAGGCTCTTCGCGCCGTTGCGCCCTCGCGCCGCCCCCCTTTGAGTAGGGGGAAAACAGACCTACCTCGCGTTTGACCACCCTCGCTTCCAAGAGATACCAAGCGATGCCAAATTGCAGCCTGTACTGGTCAGGCCGCTTGACGAGGAGGCGCGTGGTATGGCTTGGTTTTGCCTGGAAGCCACAGCGGGGTAGGTAATTCACGCTCTGATTGAGGGAAGGGCAGCCACTCTGGCCCCCTGCCTGCCGTCGGGTGACGTCGGGCATGCCCTCCTCCGGGCGGATCCGGGAAGGGAGACGCGTCGAAAAAGAGAAGTCCCAACATAATCACGAGAGACTCCCGAAACAGTTGGACAAACGTCCCCAGTCGATGTTCTTAGAACTATTCGGGGATGGACAGAACCCCCTTTAGTAAAACGTGGTTTAGCGAAAACGACCTGAGGCCCAAACCTGGCGGGCGCAAGCCTGGAAAATGACGGCCACGGCGCCCTCTCGAGAACCGAAAACGGACAATTCACTAATCGACGTGTCACTGTTGGGGGTTCTGTCCACCCACGAACAATGTTCGAACATTCCTCCTGTACTGATCGGGAGATGTCCGACTCGACCATGCCGCGGCGCGCGGCGCGCGAGGCTCTCCGCGCCCCCGCGGGTGGCTCGCGGCGCCGAGAGGCGGCAGGGCCGCGGAGGCCCGCCGCGGGCCTGGGCCAGCGCCTCCAGCTCCCCGGCCCGCAGCGCCTGCCGGGCCGCGAAGTCGGAGGCCTTCTTGGCGGCGCGCACAAGGGGGGCAGGGGGAGGAGGAGGAGGAGGAGGAGGAGGAGGAGGAGGAGGAGGAGGAGGAGGAGGAGGAGGAGGAGGAGGAGGAGGAGGAGGAGGAGGAGGAGGAGGGGAGGAGAGAGGAGGAGGAGGAGGAGGAGGAGGAAGGAGGAGGAGGAGGAGGAGGAGGAGGAGGAGGAGGAGGAGGAGGAGGAGGAGGGGGAGAAAAGGGGGGCAGGGGGATGGGGGGGAGGCGTCGAAGGAGGAGGCGGCTTCCTGAAGGCGCGGGCCGTATACACTCGTAAGTGAGGGCCGCGCCTGCTAAGAAGCGGCCTCGCTTGAAGGAGCCTTCTCCCCCCTCCCCCCCTACCCCCCCCCCTCCCTCTGCGCGTGGCCGACCTTCTGCGCGCAGAGGGCGGTGAGGTCGTCGAGGTACTTCTTGTCGGCGGCGCGGGTCTCTGCCGTCTCGGCCAGGTCGGCCTCCCCAGGCCCCCCTCTCGCGCCGTGGAGGCACAAGCGTGCGCTCCCTGCGTGCAGCTCCCCCCACGTGTGCACCTCGTGCGCCCGTCGCTTCTCGCTGAAGAGCTCTGCCTGTGAGCACCTCCGGGTGTGAGAGCGAGTCGGCGTGGACGGCGGGCGCGGAAACGACGACGGCGACAGCAGCGACTCCGGTGACACTTCCAGTGGGCATCTTCCGGGAGTGGCGAGGGAAGCACAATAGCGGCAGAGCGAGGGGGCAGTGCACCGCCAAAAGGGGAGGGAAGACTGAGCGAAGGCACGCCGGGGCGGGAGAGCGGCCCCCCCTGGCGGGCCGGGCGGGCGGGCCCCGACGGGCGGGTCCGGCGGGCGCGCTCTCCCGGACCGCCCTCGCGGCCGTGAGGAGCAAAGGGGGGGCCCTGCCGAGCTCCAGCACCTCCAGAGGGTGCTCGGGCTGCGACGCTGGCTTGCCAGCCTGGAACATATTCCTATCCCTCAGCTGGGCATCGCATCGGCACAATGCCAATCTTCGGGACTCCCTTCGTCTTTCCGGGCGCATCCCCAAGATCGTCCTCGCCTTTTGGCGTGCCTATCTTAGGGACCAGGGATGCGTTCGAGGCTGGGGAGCGTCCGGGAAAAGGGGGCGAGCTCTCCTGGCGGGGGGTCCTCGCTGCGAGGAGGCCACGACGATGGGGTCCGTGCTCGGAGGCGGGGCCACGAGACCGCGTGCCGCCCGGGCCCCGCCAGCCGCCCCGACGGCGAGCACACGAGGCGGGCGCAGAGGTCCGCTGGGACACTCTTGGAGCAGCGCTGGGCCCGCCCTCTCCCGGCGCGCGGATCGCGCCAGAGGGGGTTCCAGCGCCGACCCAAGGAATCCGCGCGGACATCTGAAAAACTTTGTTTTGAAGTCTCACTTGTCATAGATAGTTCTTGTCGATCCCCCCGTCCAGTGCGCACTGCATTTGCCAAGTAGGGTGCCCAGAAGATAAGAACAATCATGTTGAGACTGTTCTCTCTTCGCTTCTCGCGTGTCATCCAACATCGATGATGCACCCCTAGTCCTTCAATGCCAACCCTTTTCGTCTTCGATCGTGCCCCTTTGGAGGGTATGTCTTCCTTGCCTGACGCGTGTAGTTGGCGCAGCCTTACCACGGAAAGAAGAGGGACATGTAAAAGAGATAGAGCGATGAAAGGAGACAGAAACGAGAAGGGCTGGGGGCGGCAGGGAGGGAGAACTGGCCATCTCTCGGACGTCCGTTCCCTGTGTCTTTTTTCGGCTTCGTGCGTGGCTTTTTCGCCAACTGATCCAGGATGATTCTCGATGGTCCCCGCCGAGATAAAAAAGTGCACGCGTCCCAGCGATGCCAAGGGGACGATCGAGGGCGAGGAAGGTCGAGCAGGAGCGACGTTGGCCAGCGGGCCCCGGCAGGCTCGACCCCTGGTGGGGCGGCTCGGGTGGGCGGGCCCTCGCAGGCGGGTCGGGCGGGCTGGCCGTAAGGATCGGATCGGAGGGGGGCACACTGAAGCGAGCGGGCGGGCTTCCAAGCGGGCGTGCGAGCACAGACAGACCTCACGGGCGGGCCATGAGGGCGGGCCGTAGGGATCGGAGCGGAGGGGGGCACACTGGAGCGGGCGGGCGGGCTTCCAGGCGGGCGAGCGGGCGGACCCCAGAGGACGGGTCGGGGAGCGGGCGGGCTCCCACGGGCGGGATGCGTTGGGTTGGGCGGGGCTTCGGAGCGAGCCTCGCCACCGGCAGGAGGCCTCAGGCGAAGGCACGAGTCGTCCAGGGTGAGTTCGAGGACGTCTGCTGCAGGAGCGGGACGCCCGGGCGCCGAGAGCGCAGCGCCGCAGTGAGTTGCAGGGGAGTCGTCGGCAAGAGCCCGCTTCCCGAGTGATGTGTGAGGACGTCTCGAGCGAGAGGTAGCTTTTTGGATACGTCGTGGGGATTGTTATCCGGCGGGCACCGTTGTTGTTGCATAACAAGTGGTGCGAGCCTCAGGGAGGGCTCTTCTAGTGAAACGTACGCGTACACACATACATACATACATACATACATACATACATACATACATACATACATACATACATACATACATACATACATACATACATACATACATACATACATACATACATACATACATACATACATACATACATACATACATACATACATACATACATACATACATACATACATACATACATACATACATACATACATACATACATACATACACACATACATACATACATACATACATACATACATACATACATGCATGCATGCATACATACATACATACATACATACATACATACATACATACATATACACGTGTATGTAAGCATATGCATGTATACACTCATGCGTGGCCACGTATACATATGTATATACAGCTACACATAGAGATGCGTATACGCTGATATATATATGTATATGTGTATCTGTATATGTGTGCACTGAAAAAACACCGAGGGGACCAAGGGAGATCACCAATACTTTGCCGACCGCACAGACGAGCAGTTGACATCGGTGTCGCCAGCCTCTTCCTCACACTGTATTCGGGATCGCGCTCTCTCGCTGGACTTGCACACGCTGTACTCAGGAATTGCTTTCTCGCTTGGGACTTTCTGACAGCGGACGTCTTCAGGCGCTGCGCCCTCGACGCCCAGGAGTCGCGCCCTCGCACGAGACGCCCCTGCACAATTCTCAGGACGTGCGCTCTCGCCTGAGGCCTCGTCGCGATGCGCGAAAGTCGCTCCAATACCCACCCCGCCCGTTAGCGCCCCCCCTACCCGACCAGAGAGTCCGCCCGCCCGACCCGCCCAGTAGAGTCCGCCCGCTCGCCTGCTTGAAGCCCGCCCGCCCGCTCAGTGGACTGTCCGGCCCGCTCGCCAGGGCCCCGCCCGCCCGACCAGCCCGGTGGGGTCCGCCCGCCCGGCCCGCCTGTGAGGGTGCGCCCGCCCGCCCTGCCCGTCAGAGTCTCCCCTGTCTGCCAGTCTCACTGCGCCGCCCGCCCGCCCCGCCCAGGTCCTCCCCCTTCTGCTCAAATCTTCTTCGGCCTCCATCGTCCTCCCTCCCTCTTGCCCCAATCCCTCAATCCTCCCTCCCTGAATCCTCCCTCCCTGAATCCTCCCTCCCTCAATCCTCCCTTGCCCAATCCTCCCTCCCTGAATCCCTCCCTCCCTGAATCCCTCCCTCCCTGAATCCCTCCCTCCCTCCCTCAATCCTCCCTCCCCCTTGCCCCAGTACCTCGATCCTTCCTCCCTGAGTCCCTCTCCCGCTTCCTCCTCGGTTGTTCGCTCGATCTCTGCTCCGTGTCCCTCAGCATCCTCATAGTTTCAGTGCCGCGCCGACCACCAGCGGCGGGCAAGGAAGACATCCCCCGAAAAGGGGGAGGATCGCAGACGAAGAGGGCGGATATCGAGCGCATTCGAGTAAGGGAGCAAGGCGTGATGCATGCGATTAGCAGAATCGAAGAAGAAGAGGGCTTGGGATACAAATGCTGAGTGGTGCGCGAGCAATGCTGAGCGAACAGGTTCTTCGGCCTTGGCGTCCGCGGCCATCTCGATGTTTTTCGCCTTGGACTGCGTCTTGTCCGAGATGTCCGCCTTGGCCTGGTCGCTTTGCGCGGTGATGTCCTGCATCGTCAGTTTGTACGCGTTCTTCTTGTCCAGCTCCTCCTTCTCCACCGTGGTGCGCTCACTGATGAACTTGTTGAGCAGCTTGGAGAGCATCTCGATGATGCCGTGCGACTGGAACTCGTACCCGAAAGCCTCGGGGGCGGACATGAAAGCGAGGTCCTCCTCGGCGAGGTCGTCCTGCAAGAACGCCGAGACCGCCTTCTTGGCTTCGTCCGGGATCAGCTTGACGTCCTGCAGCGCCTTCACCTGCGCGAAGGAGGCCTGCTTACGATTGTAGCCCTGCTTCTTCAGCACCTCGATAGCCCGCTCCTGGAGGAGAACAACTGCGTAAACATGACAAAATTCGAAGGTCCGCGCCGATTTCTTGGATCGGCGCTGGACCCCCCTCCAGGGCGCGTGGAGCGCGCCAGGGGTGGCGCCGGAAGCGCCGCCAGCCCAGCCCGGACCGATTCAAGATATCCGCGCGGCGCTCAGAAAATGCATGGTTCCCAGACATGCGACGCCCTGATCCTGATTTGTTCAGGACGGCGTCCCTGGAAGTCCCGACCCTTTCCCCGGGACAGGTTTTTCGTCCTGAGTCGTCGGACGGTCCCGAAGCCCAGCGAGTGCCCCCCAGGGCCGCAAATAGCCAGAAACCTCGCGTGCTGACTTGTTTAACGACGCGATCATGTCTGGCTTATGCAGTTGTTTGATTCTTCGAGCTCCAGCGCGGAGATGGACTCGGACAGGTCCTTGTGTTCGTCGTCGTACGCGGCCTTCTCCGACTTGCGCACGCCAGTGGCTGCCTCCATGTCGGCGTCCCACCCCGCGACGTCCGCCTGGTGGTCGGCGATCTCCTTGGTCATCTTGGCCGCGGTGGCCTCATACTTCTCGATGTCCGCCTTGAGCACCTCGATCTTCTCGTCCGCCTCCCTGATGGCCTTGTCCTTCTCAACCGTGGTGTCGCCGCAGAACTGCTTGTACGCTGCGTACTGGACTTCCTCGTCGTGCTTCTCAGCCTTACCCTTGGCGAGCATGTTCTGCATGAGCGTGATGACCTTCTGCACAGGCGTCACCTCGCTGCCTGACGCCAAAGCAACGCAGGCGGCCACGGATGCAAGCACGATGGCTGCCAGCGACATCTTCATTGCGCTGTGCTGGCCCGGTCCAGGTGGCCTCAAAATGAAAGAGTGGGTTGAGGAAGCGGACGCGAAGGAACGCTGCCTCTTGAGCCATAGGGGTGCAAACCCAAACACGGACACACACACACACACACTCACGCGCGCGCACACCCACACACACCCACGCACACCCACGCACATCCACGCGCACACACACACGGACACACACACACATACGCGCACACTCGCACACACACACACACACGAACACCCACACACACACACGCGCGCACGCACCCACACACACACACACACGCACACCCACGCGCCCCCTCCCCCCCCCCCACACACACACACACACACACACACGCACACACACGCACACACACACCAACACACCAACACACCAACACACCAACACCACACCACACACCACACACCACACACCACACACCACACACCACACACCACACACCACACACCACAGAACACAGAACACAGAACACAGAACACAGAACACAGAACACAGAACACAGAGCACAAAACACAGAACACAGAACACAGAACACAGAACACAGAACACAGAAAACAGAACACAGAACACAGAACACAGAACACACACAACACACACAACACACACAACACACACAACACACAACACACACAACACACACAAAACACACAACACACACAACACACACACAACACACCACACACACCACACACACAACACACACACAACACACACAACACACACAACACACACACAACACACACAGCACACACAGCACACACAACACACACAACACACACAACACACACAACACACAACACACCACACACAACATACAACACACAACACACAACACACAACACACAACACACACAACATTCACACACAACACACACAACACACACAACACACACAACACACACGACACACACAACACACACAACACACAACACACACAACACAACACACACAGCACAACACACACAACACACACACTCACACCCACGCACACCCACAATAACGCACGCACTCTCACACACACACACCCATACACACCCATGCACACCCACACCCACACACACAGACACGCACACACGCAGAAACAACAGAAACATACACACAGAAACACACACACAGAAACAGACACAATTACACAGAAACAGGTATACATATATATATATATATAGATATTGCCATTGCAGCCCATGGCGCGGTGACAGGGCGGAACAAGTCAAGTACGGCGGACGGAAGTTAAGCCGGTGCGCGTGCTGGCCGCCGCCCAAGGGGGCGTTTCACAGCGGGGCGCCGCGCAGACGCGACGAGACACATACACACACACATTCACGCATTTGTTTCCCACGCGCGGCTGAGTCCAAACCGCGGAACGACGCGACGGGCCAAATTTGCATCGAATTCGCTTCCCTGTGAACTGCGGGACACGAGGCAGAGGTCGTACCTATGCGGAATGGAAACAGTACTCACAAACACATGAAACTCGCACCACACGCATAAGTTCCCAAACATCTCCCAAGGCACAACACACACTAATTCCATAAAACGCCACACTCATGAATTCCACACCACACACACATACATTCCACTCACGCGCGCGCACACAAACCACACACACACACACACTTGAATGTCACAAATGTTACGCTGGCGCGCGACCACTTCCAGGCGCGGCAGCGCACAATCACACATAAACACAACACTGCCAACAACGATCTCGGGCCCCGCGGCAGAGGGGCAGCGGGCACGCCGGGGCGCCTGGCACCGCGCAGACAGATAAGCAGGTACGACCCAAAGGGAAAGAAGGACACATGCGCATGTGCACACACGGGTCGACAGAAACAATGACACGGGGTCCCGTTCGCACCGGCCTAAGCCCATCGCCTCTGGCTTCAAAGAGCGCACGCGCGCAAACACGTCTTTGGCGGTCGCGGCCCTGCGCGCGGCAGCCAGGCAAAGCAACTCAAGTACGGCTGCCGGAACATAGGCTGGTGCACGCGCGCGCGGGCTCAGAGGGGAGCAGCACATTGGCACATTGCCATCTGGGCGTGGATGGCGGGGAAAGGTGAGAGCGGACTGGCCGCCGCCCAAGGAGACGCCACACGTGAACAGCGCATCGCGGACACAACGGGGAAGCAAGGTGTACAACGACCGACCAAGACGCCAGGCGGTGGTCAATGGCGATGCGAGGACGCGGTGGCAAAATGCCACGGGGCGCTGACACACACACACACACACACGCGCACACACATATCTATATTCGGGAGCGGCCAAGAGGGGGGTGTCCAAGAGGGGGGGGTGCAAATCATGACCGGCGGCATGTGCGCGGCCCAGCGGGGGGGCCAGGGACGTAATGAAATAAGAAGAGGCGCCATGAGATTTGGGGAAATATCATGGCCCCCGCCATGATATCCACCCCCCCTAGTCATCATCCCCCTCTTTTCCGCCCCCGATATATACATATATACAGTTGTGTATATGTATCTATGTATGTATATATGCGTCGGCGGTTGGGCAGAAGTTACTGCTCCGGCGATGTGGCATTACTGGGGCGCACAAAATGCAAGTTAGGCCGTAGTGCCCACGAGGACGAGAGAGGAAGCCGGGCGCGGGCGGGGCGGGAGAGGAAGCCAGGCCCTTTCAGAGCAAGTCCCGGCGGCAAAGCGGGCGCTGGGGCGGGGAGCCAGCGGCGGCGCCGGGGCAGCAGCTGGAGGGAGGCAGCCCGAAGGCAGCCGCGGGCGCAGGCCCAGGGGGGGGGGGGGGGGGAAACACGTGGAACTGCGAAGCGGCTGAGCCCTGAGATCTTCTGACCTTCCAAGGGACTGGACAGCCAACGATGACCACACCAAAGGGGGGGTTGGACACGTGGAGCGGCGAGGCGGCTGAGCACTGAGATCTTCTGACCTTCCAAGGGACTGGACAGCCAACGATGACCACACCAAATGCAGGGGTTGGACACGTGGAGCGGCGAGGCGGCTGAGCACTGAGATCTTTTGACCCTCCAAGGGACTGGACAGCCAACGATGACCACACCAAAGGGGGGGTTTGACACGTGGAGCGGCGAGGCGGCTGAGCACTGAGATCTTCTGACCTTCCAAGGGACTGGACAGCCAACGATGACCACACCAAACGGGGGGTTGGACACGTGGAGCGGCGAGGCGGCTGAGCACTGAGATCTTCTGGCCTGCCAGGCGACTGACCAGCCAAGGATGGCCACACCAGGCGGGGGGGTCTGAAAGGAGCTGGCAAGGGTCCGGCAGCGGAGGCAGCGGGGACGCCGAGATCTGCTGACCTGCGAGGCGCGGGAGAGGGGCGGGCCCCTCCTCCCTCCCTCCCCTCCTCCCCTCCCTCCTCCTCCCTCCTCCTCCCCCTCCTCCTCCCTCCTCCCCTCCTCCTCCTCCTCCTCCCTCCTCCTCCTCCTCTTCCTCCTCCTCCTCCTCCTCCGCCACGGCGGCGGAGCAGCGAACACGGCCGAGCTGGGGGGGGGCAAGCACGAGGGCCGAAGGCGGGCCCGAAAGCCAGGCAGGACAAAGGGCCCGACCAGGGAACGGCCAAGGCCGGCCAGCCCTGAGGGGGGGGCCGTGGCAGAGAGCCAAGACGGGAGCCACGGGCGGCGCCCGGACAAGACCTGCAGAAAAAGCCAGCGACCTGACGTGCCGAGGCAGGGGGTGCGGCGGCAGGGCAGGGCACCCACCCGGGCGGGGAATGACGGGGTGCAGCGGCGACCCAGGGAGAGGCGCGCGGGAGCCAGCGGGGAGCGGCAAGACCAGCCCGCCAAGGGCAGACGCGGCGGCCAACACCAGGGGGGGGAGCGCGCGAGCGGGGCCGCGCGCCGTGGAGCCCGTGCGGATGGCTCTGAGTCCCACGGCGATGAAAACGCGTGCGCGGCACTCGACAGGGGCCGAGAGCGCGCGGGGGGAAGCACCGAGGGTTGGAGGCCTGGAAATTGGCACCAACACCAACACAGGGCGTTGCCTCCACAGGGGGAAGACGATCCTAGATTTCGGTGTTGGTGGCAATATTTCGGCCACCTTAGAAGCCAGAATATTACCACCATCACCGAGATCGGCATCGTCTTCCCTCGGTGGAGGCACACCGCCGACATTGGTGTTGGTGTCAACCTCTAGGCCTCCGAGAGGGTGCGCGGGGGGCCCGGAAACACCGACCAGGTGCAGCGAAGCGGCAGAGAAAGCGGGCCAGCAGAGCGGCAGCCGGCCTGGAGGGCAGGTGCGGAGAAAGGTGGGCAGGCGCGGCCGACGGTCAGTGGAGAGCGCGGCCAGGAGTGTGAAGGCTGGCGGCGCGTGGCACACCGTGCCCAGGAGGGAGGCGGCGAGAGGGGCGTGCGCAAGGGCAACTCCGAACAGGACCGCGAGAGGGGACGGCAGGTGCCCGTCGTGCCCCGGGCAGGCCGCACACGCACACACACACACACACACACACGCACACACACACACACACGCACACACACACACGCACACGCACACGCACACACACACGCACACGCACACGCACACACACACACACACACGCGCGCGCGCACACACGCACGCACACGCGCACACAAACACACACACACACGCGCTCACACACACACACACACACACACACGCTCACACACACACACACGCACGCTCATTTACACACACGCACATCATAGTCTGGCGCTGTGAGTGATGGGCATGTGGCAGGCTACATTACAGGGACACAATCGCAGACGGGCGCACACCACGCGCACACACATACACACACACAAACACACACACACACACACACACACGCACGCTCATTTACACACACGCACACCATAGTCTGGCGCTGTGAGTGATGGGCATGTGGCAGGCTACATTACAGGGACACACTCGCAGACGGGCGCACACCACGCGCACACACACACACACACATCACACACACGCACACACACACACACACCAAAGGCACCACCACCCCCACACACGCGCACACACGCACACAAAAACACACACACGCGCGCACACAAGCACACGCACACGCACACGCACACGCACACACACACACACGCACACGTACACGCACACGCGCACGCACACGCACACGTACAAAAACACACCCGCGCACACACACACACACACACACACACGCTCTCTCTCTCTCACACACACTTCTTCGACCTTGGAGATGCGACGCACGATCGCGTCGGGAGAAGCTACATTATACGCAGTACACCCGCACGCGATGATGGTGGACGCGCTCGATCCCAGCTGTGTGATCCTGGGCGACGGTCAAGCTGAGCGACTGGCAAGAAGTCGAGAAGCAGGCACACGTAGCCAAGATGCAGCGAACCGTGCTCTCAGCCACATGACAGGAGGGGTGCCACTGCGCCACTGTGCCAACACAAACATGCCAAACGCAGCAGACGCAGCAGACGCAGCAGATCACAGACCACAGAGCGCACACGCTCGCCCAGGTCAACACTCACCGCTGGGCAGGGAAGACCCAGACACCCCAGCCCATGACTTGCTCACAGCCTCGACCCCCAGAATCCTCGATCCCACTCCCCAGGGGCAAGCCATTGTCAGCCCGAGCTACAGTCGGGGCATTGACCTAAGGAACCCTAAATAAGGAACAAGGCCCCTTTTTTCTACAAGTTAAACTTCGATTTCCGATCGAAAAAAAAAGAAAACCTGAGGCAAACTGTGAAACAATCAAGGAACACCGAACCCCTCCCCAACGAAAAGGGTTCCTTCTTCAGGGCCCCGACTGTACTCTGAACCGGCCCTGGCGCCCAGCGAGAGCCCCCGGAGCCCGAAAGCCTAAGCACGCAACCTTCCGGCAAAACTGCTTCGCCACCCGCCGGGGGTCTGGGGTAGACGGTTTCCCCGGGGGCCGTAGGCGACCCGAGGAGGGGAGGGCGAAGAGGAGGAGGAGGAGGAGCAGGAGGAGGAGGGAGGAGGAGGAGGGAGGAGGAGGAGGGAGGAGGAGGAGGAGGAGGGAGAGGAGGAGAGGAGGAGGAGGACGAGGAGGAGGAGGAGGAGGGAGGAGGAGAAGGAGGGAGGAGAAGGAGGAGGAGGAGGAGGAGGAGGAGGAGGAGGAGGAGGAGGACTGTCTCGCCACCCGCGGGGGCCGAGCCGCGCACTGCCGGCGGGGGCCCGCGGAGGCCCGCCACCCGCCGCGCCACCCTGCGCGGCCTGCTGCCTCCTGCCGCGCGAGCGGCGAACGTTTGGGCGCCCGAGCTATCCGGGGTAACTCGGGTCCGGGGTAACTCGGGTTCCCAGACCTCGGGCGTCTCGAAAAAATCGAGACAAAGGTTTTTCATCGTTTTCGGCCTCTGGAGGCCCTCGCCGGGCCTCGGGACCGTCAAAAAACGACTCGGGATGAAAAACCGGTCCCGGGGAAGTGGTCGGGAGGTTGGGGGCCCGTGTCTCGAAAAAATCGAGACGTCGGATGTCTGGGTTTGGATTCCCGAAAAAGGAACCCGAGTTAGCCCTGACCCGAGTTACCCCCGATGGCTCGGGGCTCTGCATCTGAAACGCGTGTCTGCACGCCCGCGCCCCCGCGGCCCGGCTCCCGGGGCGCGGCCCCACGACGTGGCCGCACGGGGCCCGAGGAGGCAGCGCTCGGATGTCTGCGGGGCGGCGCCCCTAGGAAAGCTCCGATCGCCCCCTGTCCGCGGGGCCGCTTTTCCTCGTCCTGTGGGGAGGCCCGGGCGAGGGCCCCCCCCGGGGCCAAAAAACAGCCCAGACCCTCCCGCCCTGATTTTTGGAGCGACGCGGTCACGTCATGGGGATCTGCGTCCCGCGGGGTCGCGGCCCATTGGGGGCCCGGCCGCGAGGCCGTGGGCACGGACGTGTTTCTCGTCCACGACCTGCGGCGGCGCCCCGGCGGCGTGGCCGACCTCTCCGGGGAGGGCTCGCCCCGCAGGCCTCTCAGCGCCTCGCGCATGCGGCTCGAGCGGACCACTGCCGCCTGCGCGCCGGCGGCCGGCTGCAGGTACTCCGTGATGCGCGGCTGCCTCAGGGCGTCGGTGTAGCGGCGGATGCTGGCGGCGCGCGCAGGGGGTGTGGCGCGAGTGGGGCGACCTTCTTCATGAGAGCGGAAGGAGCCACTGCTCCATCTGCCTTATGAATCGTCCCTCGGGTCCGGTTTCTTACGGCGCCTTTTCATAACGAAGGGGGGTCCGGCTTATCAGGGCGCTTCCTGCGAATTGGAGCTTGAGGGGGTCCAGTTTATGAATACGCCTTTTGGATATCGTTGTTCAGCCCTTTGACACGCATAACTGTTATCAGCCTCGTGAGCATCAGCATTCTGATTACGAAAGGCCTTCTAGAACTCGCCGCTTTGGATGCAGATCAGCATCATGATCATCCCTGCCATTATCATCGTCATCACCATCATCATCAAAATCAACATCATCACCATCACCATCACCATCACCATCATCATCATCATCATCATCATCATCATCATCATCATCATCATAATCATCATCATCAGCAGCAGCATCATCATCATCATAATCATTATCATGCTTATCCGCATTATCATCACTGGCCTCATCAATGGCGGCGATAACAATGCCATGGCAATGTGCATCGCGACGGCGACGGCAAATGTGTTGCCGCAATGGTGAGGAATACATTGCGCTTCAAATGCAATCGCCTGGGTATTCATAAATCCTCTGGCGTGGTATGCTGAGAACCGCATTGGTGTTAACACACCCACTGGCGTGCCCGTGCCGATGATGTTATTGTGCTGAGGGGGTCCGGGGTATTGATGCTCCCTGTCGAAGAGGGGGGTCCGGAATATGAGGTCGCAGTTCGAGGGGGGTCCCGTGTTTTAGGGGGGGTCGATCAACAAGGCAGACGGAGTACCACCAGAACTCCATATCGCATTTCGAGGGGGGTCCGGTCTTCTTCGAGGTCGCATTTCGAGGGGGGTCCAGTTTTTTTTTGGGGGGGGGGGGGGGCAATCAACAAGGCAGATGGAGTACCACCAGAACTCCACAGAATTCTGTTCCCCGAAGGGCTTTACCACCACCAGGACTCCATAGAACTCTCTTCCCTATAAGGCCCCCCGAGCAGGCGGCGCGCGCCCGGAACGGGGTGCCGCCCGCTCGGGGAGGGGGGGAAGTGAGAATGAGAAGGCTCCTCCTCCTCGTCCTCTTCCGCCTCTTCCTCCTCCTCTTCCTCTTCTTCCTCCCCTTCCTCCCCTTCCTCCTCCTCCTCCTGCTCCTCCTCCTCCTCCTCCTCCTCCTCCTCCTCCTCCTCCTCCTCCTCCTCCTCCTCCTCTCTCGGCGGCGAGCGAGGGGGCGAAGCGAGAGGGAGAAGCGAGAAGGCCGACTGCCCGCTCGGGGAAGGGGGCCAGCCCCCCCCCCCAGCTCGTGGCAGTGGTCCTTTCTGCTCTGGGGACTTCTGCGACTGCGGGGCGGAGGCAGATGCAGATCTGACGACCTACCAGACCACCCCAACCCAACCCGAAGATCCGAACTTCGGGTTGGGGGGGGTTCAGGGTTCCACGCGTGTTTTGTCTATGTTCCCCGACCCCCCCCAACTGGAAATGGAGGGCAAATTGAGGCCTTCGGGTTGGGTTGGGGTGGTTTGGTGGGTGGTGAGAAAAGGCGGAAGGGCTTCTAAGACGGCCCCGGGGCTTCTCAGAAGGCCTTCACGCTTCTGGGAAACCTCCCCAAAGGCCCCCCACCCAGTGCTATGTTGCATCCTCGGGGGACCTTGTCTGTCCCGTCGCGGCCCTGTCCGCGTCGAATCCGTGTCGAATCCATGTCGGACGCGTCGGATCCGTGTCGAATCCGTGTCGAATCCGCGTCGAATCCACGCCAAGTCCGCGTCGAGTCCGCATCAAGCATGCGTCGGACACAAGAAAAGACACCAATTTGGGGGACAGGCAAGGTCCCCCGAAGATGCAACGCAACCCGTGGGCCCTTCTGAAAAGCCCCCAGCCTTCAAAGAGGGCCCCCGCCCTCTCAGACGGCAGGGGGCCTCCCTCGCGCGCCTCCCACCCGGTGTGCGCCGTCAGGGATGGCGGGCACCAGGCGCTCCTGAAGCTTCTCCTCCGGGAGGCCGCACCCAGACACCACCCTTACCAGCACGCGCTCCTCGTCCACAGGCTCCCAACAGAACGGCGCCGAACTCCTGTCCACCGCCGGTTGCACGAAGGCCGCGTGCACCGCGGCATTGGGGAAGTCCTGCGGGAAGGACCACTGCGTCCGGAAGTTCTGGTGGCTGCGCTTGAACTCGGCCAGCGCGCGGCGGTCCTGGGGAAACCAAAGGAGGTACTCCAGATTTCGTAATAAAAGGGAGGGGGTCTGGACCCTCCAAGACAAGCCATTTCAGACCTCCCCCGTGGGAGAACCCTCCAAAACATCGTCCCCAGAAACCCCAGGCCCTCCAAGATAGCCTGGAAGAGCCCCCCCCCGAAATGAGACCTCCCTCCCTTTATTACGAAATCTGGAGTACCGATGCCGCTGCTCCTCAGACATCTCCCAAAGGCGCGTTCTGAGTACGACTTCGAGGCGAATGCAGCGGTGGCGACGAGGGCCTCCCAGGGAGCCCCCCAAAAAGGAAAACGAAGGATCGAGCAGGGACCGACCGTCCTGGCATGCTTATAGGGCTACCACGACATGCTCTCAGAAACCCCAAGCTGTTTCAAGAACAATAGCAATGTTGTTAGAATAATTCCGATGCGCTCGAACAAGACAGTCCTGGCCAGAAACGTTTCGCGCAAACCACCAAAGATTCTGAGGACATTATTTCATGGGCCTACGTAATGCGGGATGACGACTAATAACAAAAATGGGAGAGAACGATCAAAACATAATTGTTCTGCTATTTCGGCACTATTTGCTGACTGGAGGAGAACGATTAAAGAAATAGTGTTCCAGCCCGCGGCCGGTTTTTTCTAATCGTCATCCCGGGCGCCGCCGCGTGAACACGACCCCGGGTCATTTATTAATCGTCATCCTCCATGATAGGCGGGCCAGGGCCCTTCACCACTGCCCGAAGGAAAGGACATCCCCTCTGAGGTCCTGCGGCGTGACGCCCGCGGACTTCTGGGCCACGGCGGCCACGTCCTGCGCCCAGGACCGGAGCCGGCGCAGCCCCTCCAGCCGGTCCTCCGGCCCGGCGGCGGCTCCCGCGGTGAACGCGCGGACGATCTCGAGGCCGTTCACGATGCCTGGAGGAGGAGGAGGAGGACGATGAGGAGGAGGAGGAGGAAGTGGAGGAGGAGGAGGAGGAGGAGGAGGAGGAGGAGGGGGAGGAGGAGGGCCAGGGCTCGGCCTGGCCAGTGTTTTCCGTT